ATTACATGAAAACCAGGCAAAGGAAGCAAAAATAGGAAACTAGGCTTGAAGCAAACTAAAAACACAGCAAAATGAAAGAACCAAGAGTGAAAACTATGGAGTGGGAGAAAATATTGCAAACCGGGTTATCTGATAGGAATTAAGATCCAAAATATATAAGGAATTCAAACAACTCAATGGCAAAAAACACATTTTTAAAAAAACAAATAATATGATTAAAAAAAACAGGCAAAAGACTCGAAGAGACTTTTTTTTTCCCAAAAAGGACATACAGATGGTGCACAGGTACACAAAAAAGATGCTCAGCATTGCTCATCATCAGGGAAATGCAAATCAAAGCCACCACGAGACAGGACCTCACACCTGTCAGAATGGCCATCATCAAAAAGACAAGAAATAATAAGTGTTGGTGGGGACGTGGAGAAAAAGGGAACCACTGTGCACTGTTGGTGGGATGGTCAATGGGTGCAGCCACTGTGGAAAACAGTATGGAGGTTCCTCAAAAAAAAAAAAAAATAGAATTACCAGAGGATCCAGCAATGCCTTTTCTGAGTGTACATCTAAAGGAATCAGAACCTGGATCTCAAAGAGATAGCTGTATCCTCATGTTCATTGCAGCATTATTCACAGTAGCCAAGATATGGAAACAAATTAAGTGTCCATGCATGGGTGAAGGGATAAAGAAGATGTCACAAACATACACACACAGACACAGACACAGAGGAATATTATACACCTGTAAAAGGAAGGCCGTTCCACCATTTGCAACAACATGGATGGACCTGGAAGGTATTATGCTAGATAAAAGACATAGTACTGTTTAATAGCACCACGTACAGAATCTAAAGAAAACTCATAGAAACAGAGAGCAGAATGGGGCTTACCAGGGGCAGGGGAGGGTGCGAGAAGTGGGAAGATATTGGTCAAATGGTACAAACTTCCACTTATGAGATGAATAACTTCTGGGGATCTAATTCATAGCATAGTGACTATAGTTAATGATTCTGTATCGTTCACTCAAAATTCAGTGGAAGTAGATCTCAAGTGTTCTCACGACATACGAAGAAACTACGTGACAGGACGGACACGTTAATAGCGCGACTGTGGTGATCTTTTCACAAGGTCTACGGGTATTACAACATCAAATGGACACCATAATTATACACAATTCCTATGTGCCAGTTATGTCTCCATAAAGCTGAAGAAAGAGGGGAGGTCTATTCTGATGTTAGTGGGGTGCGCAAAGATCAGTCACGGTTTCCCTACCTGGATTAGTGTAGACCAGTGTTTCTGAAATTGGCCTTTGGTTGACATATACTTCAACCGTGAGCGTGACTCCCCCATGGAGAGAATTGTCTTGAAAGGTGCACTGACATCGTTTCATCTGAAAAGATGCAACCAGCCAGCGGGTTAGGACGCAGGATGTTTACTCCTGCATCCACCCCATGGTGCCGTCCACCTCCTTCTGTGACGTCTCCCCCAGGGACCTTCTTTTGGAAGAGGTCAGCTAGCAGCATTCAGAGGTTCGGAATAGCGCGCACCTTTTAATGTGCCGTCAGTCACCGGGGATCTTGTGAAAATGCAGATGCTGGTTCTGTGAGTCCCAGGTGGGGCCTGGGACTCTGCACTTCTCACAAGCTCCCAAGGGATGCGGATGGACCACAATGTGAGTAGTGAGAGCCCTCGTCACTTTAAACTTTACGGAGACTCACAGTCTCTTTTATGGGATTGAGTTTTCTTATCCTATTATTTTGCATTCATTCAACAGGGAGAGCTGATCAGGGTTAAGTCTGCCCTGTGGACCAACCAAGCAGAAGGCTGGCGTGCCTAGCAGCCAGGAGCCCCCAGGCCAGTTGGAAAAGGGATGCCCGAAGAGGGAGTGGGGTCTCCCAGGGAATCAGCCCACTGGACACGAGCCCGCACCTCCCTCGTGCACCTGGTACCGTGACTCCCAGACACGTCCCAATGTTGCTCGTGTGTTTTTCATTCGTACCTGCTGTTGTCCTGCTTGATGAGAGGTGGACAAAGGACAGCGGCTGAGTGCATCCAACCCATCGTACCTGTTTCTTAATCTGTCCTTTCTCCTTGTGAGTCATCACACAGTGCCCGCTGGTAGCGTTTTCCTTGCAGTCCCAAGTTAATTGCATTTTCTTGGGGTCGAATTTCACATTTAGACTGGAGTTTGGTTCCACGCTTGGAAGATCTGAAAGATGTAGCCACTGGATTCAGAAAATGACTGTTCCGTTGCCCCTCAACGGACACGGCCCAAGGCTTGTCAGAGCACAGGGGGGTTGGGACTTGATGTCCCCCACCCCTGTCACCCAGGCAGCCCCGAGACATCCTCACCGTCTCCTCCCTTTTCCATCCCTCCTTCTTGTCTGGATGTCCTGGCCCTTTCTCCAAGCCCTTGCCCTTACTCCATCTCCATGGAAATCCATGAAGACTGACCAAGGGAGAAGGAGCGAAGGCCGTTTATTCAGATCTTGCCATAGTAAGGGTTGGCCACGTCCCCTGTGTCTGCAGAGTGGCTGGAAGAGCATTCCCATCACGAGGAAGGGGGGGGCAAGACAGGACGTGTTATGTGGGTGGACCGTCACGTATGGAGATAAAATGAGATCAGATCCAGGCATTAGGATGCATCCCCAGAAGCCAGGCTTGTGGGAACAGGGGCTGCAGAAGGAGGTCAAGCACATTTGTGGACTTACCCTGGTGCCCCTGGGTCAGGAGGAATGCGGGGTCCAGCAGCAGGGACAGCAGAATGGTGATCACCAGGAGACACGTGGGGCTGCCCACAGGACGTGGAAGCACTGGAGGGAAAGAAAACCATGGGGCATTGACGCGGAGACCTGCGATGCTCCCCTGGGAAGATGGTTGAGGGAAAAAGACACAGGACCCCCTCCAGGGTGATGGTCAGCATGGTGACCTGGCCAGCCTGGGTCACTGTTGCCTACAGAGGGTTTAAAGGCTTAAATCAGCCTCACAGGTGGCCCCAGAACCGAGAGCCTGTCCTGAGTCTTGGGGACCGGATCCAGCATTCCCTGTCACCCTCTGCATCACTTTGGGTGAGTCACTCACACTGTCTGGCTTCATGCTGGTCTGTAACCCAAGGGGAACTTCTCCCAGGTCAAAGGCAATGAGATACCACGTACCATGCCTGTGGGCGGGGGTCTCTCTGTGCAGTCCCTTTGGGGAGACCTGACTCAAATATCCTTTCTCAAGAACCCATGACGGGGGTCCCTCCATGCAGTGTATTTGGGGAGACCTGACTTCCACATCCTTTCTCCAGAGCCCATGGGATGGAGGGATCTCTCTCGGTAATGTATTTGGGGAAGCCCAAACTTTGTATGACACAGTGATGGGTGATACACATCATTATTCATTTGTCCAAACTGATAGAATGTCCAACATCAAGAGTGACCCCTAATGCAAGCTATGAGCTTTTGTCAAGAATAATGTGTCAGACTTGGCCCATCCATTGTCCGGGATGTACCAAACGGGTTCCCCATCAAGGGGAACTATGTGCAGGGGAAGTGGATCCAGGGAATCCCCTGTACTTTCCACCCAGTGTTTTTGTAAACTGAAAACTGCCCAAACAAATAAAGTCAATTAACATTAAAAAAAAAAAACAGTGCTGCAAAAGCACCATGCTCTACTGGGATAAAGCCGCACTACACATGAAACACCTGATCATCGCCTTGGGTTCAGGGTGACATCTGAGGGTCTGCCCAACATTTCCCCAAAAGCATTTTTGGTTGTGGTGATTCTTTTCATCCGTCCACCCATCCAACTACCCATTCATCCATCCTCCATCCATCCATCTTTCCATCCACCCATCCAACCATCCATCTATGTATCCATCCATCCATCCATCCATCC